GATCCTATGGACCATAGCAGGCCAGACTCCTCTGTCCATGGGACTCTCCAGGCAAGAATACTGGAGTGGGTTGCTGTGCCCTCCTCCAGGGGATCTTCCCAACCCATGGATCGAACCCAGGCCTCTTACATCTCCTGCACTGGCAGTCAGGTTCTTTACCACTAGTGTCACCTGGGAAGCCACCAGTCCCATCACTTCATGGCAAAAAGATGGGGAGAAAGTAGGAACAGTGACAGATTTTATTTTCTTGGGTTCCAAAATCACTGTGGACTGTGACTGTAGCCACAAATTAAAAGACGCTTGCTCCTTGGAAGAAAAGCTATGACAAACCTAGAGGGCATATTAAAAAGCAGAGACATCACTTTGCCGACAAAGGCCTGTATTGTCAAAGCTGTGGTTTTTCCAGTGCTCATGTACGGATATGAGAGTTAGACCATAAAGATGGCTGAGCACTAAAGAAATGATGCTTTCGAATTGTGGTGTGGAGAAGATTCTTGAGAGTCCCTTGGACAGCAAGAAGATCAAACCAGTCAATCCTAAAATCAACCCTGAACATTCACCAGAAGGACTGAAGCTCCAGTACTTTGGCCACCTGATCTGAACAGCTGACTCACTGGGAAAGACCCTGATGCAGGGAAAGACTGAAGGCAGCAGGAGAAGGGGGCAACAGAGGATGAGATGGTTGGATGGCATCATTGACTCAATGGACATGCGTGTGTTCTAATTCACTTCAGTCATGTCCAGCTCTTTGTGACCCCAGAGACTGTAGCCTGCCAGGCTCCTCTGTCCATGGACATGAGTTTGAGCAAACTCTGGGAGATAATGAAGGAAAGAGAAGCCTGGCGTGCTGCAGTCCATGGGGTTGCAAAGAGTTGGACATGACTTAGCAACTGAACAACAAACAATAACAACAACAACAAAGTTAATAAAAAGCAAAATAATTATAAACTTACTTGCCATGCTCTTTCTCAACCCCTGACCCTCAGTCAGCCCTACATCCATCAAACAGTCTCATACTTTGAGATCTAACTCAAAACCCCTCACCAATCTGACCCTTCTATCTTGTCCTTCTACCATTTCATGTGCATAAATTTATTGTAGCATTTATCATGTTATCTTGTCTCCACTGTACTTGACAAAACATCTGACATGTGTTAGGTACTCAAATAGTTACTGAATGAGTGAAAAATTAAATGAAAATCAGAATCAAGGAAAATAACAGAAAGCAAGTTTTCTAAATATACAGATTGAGATAGATTTTTGTGTTGAGCATCAGATTTGGCTCTGAAAGTCAGGGTCAAAAGAAACACAGAAAAATCACATTATCATTACCAAAAGGAAAAGGAAAATATATTCATGGGGAAGCAGTTCATATACCTAATTATACATAATTAATCTTTGGGGGCATTTTAAGTAATATGTTTTAAACTGGTTTTTCCAAGCAGGAGTTTTATATTAAATAAAGAATACTGTACTTATCTACAAAATGGTGACCAGGTTGTCAAAGAGTTATAACCAGAATTTCCCAGTACCACTGACACAAGAAGAACTCTAAATTTATGATTTAATGTGACAGTAGTACCAGGGAAAAGGTTTTGGCTCTGTTGCTGCTAAGTAATCACCCATCACTGTAGTTCACAGTGGTATTATTTCTCAATCATTAGTCAAGCACATTCTCTTTCAGCACATTTGTTTTGAGATGCTGTGCTTCAGTATACTGGGGATGCACTTGGAACTGGGGATCCTTAGGTTCAATTCCTAGTTCTGCCATTTATTTACTATGTGATCCTGGAAAAATTATAGAACCTCTCAGAGCTTCAGTTCCTCATGTGTAAAAATTATGTAAAGAGTATATGAGGCAGTATGTGGGTAGCTTCTTTACCACTAGCTTGACCTCAGAAGCCCGAGGCTATGTTAAGTACCTAATAAAGTGGCCCCCATTGAGTAGCCAATCAATCAGTGATGGTTATTATTAAGGGCAAAAATCCTATCATCCCCTGGTTGCCCTTAATCAGAACACTTGAAACCATTCCGCACATTTTGGGGGCAATAAGTGAGGAAGGAACCCCTTTCAGATCGTTGGCCTGGGGCTTGCTGCCTTTGACTACTGCTCTGATGATTTACTGGCTTCCCCAGTAGTTCAGTGGTAAAAGAATTTGCCTGCCAATGCAAGAGACACAGGAGACACAAGTTCAACTCCTGGGTTGGAAAGGCCCCCCAGAGAAGGAAATAGCAACTTACTCCAGTGTTCTTGACTGGGAAATCCCATGAACAGAGAAGCCTGGCAGGCTACAGTCCCTGGGGTCTCAAAGAGTCCGACAGGACTGAGTGACTAAACAACAAACAATACTGCTGATCGTTGCCAAAACAATCATTATCTCCGCACTCACCTGGAGGATGTCACCCTGTGTTGCAACAGGGGAGCTGGAATGTTTGCCTGCCTGACGCCCTCTGCTTCCAGTGGTACGCACCCCCTCTCACCCCCCGCTCCCAGCATCTGTCACTGACACCCTGCTGGATAAGACAGCAGATGTTTCTTAGATTTATGCTTTCCCTTTATCTCCACAGCCTGCATCCTGGTCTTTATCACTGATCTTCACTCACCTTGTTCCAGTTCTTTCTACACAAATGACCAGGACAACCTTCCTTAAACTCTAAGTTTAGTGTTTAATGATCCCTTTTAGGAATTTTAGAGATAAAATGTGCTGACCTGTGAGATTTTGTGTCTACCCATATCAGTATTTTATTTCTACACCAAAATTTTGTGGAGAGTCTCAAAAAGTTTTGAAGATATTGATCAGTATCTTATTTGGTATTTATAATGCCCTATTTATCATTAACAACTTCCTCAGATCAGTTTAGTTCAGTTGCTCATTGTGTCCGATGCTTCGTAACCCCGTGGCAAAGCATACCAGCATACCAGGCTTCCCTGTCTATCACCAACTCCTGAAGCTTGCTCAAACTCATGTCCATCGAGTCAGTGATGCCATCCAACCATCTCATCCTCTGTCGTCCCCTTCTCCTCCTGCCTTCAATCTTTCCCAGCATCAGGGTCTTTTCTAATGAGTCAACTCTTCACGTGAGGTGGCCAAAGTATTAGAGCTTTAGCTTCAGCATCAGTCCTTCCAATGAATATTCAGGACTGATTTCCTTTAGTCTTGACGAGTTTGATCTCCTTGCAGTCCAAGGGACTCTCAAGAGTCTTCTCCAACACCACAGCTCATAAGCATCAATTCTTCAGCGCTCAACTTTCTTTATAGTCCAGCTCTCACATCCATACATGACTACTGGAAAAACCATAGCTTTGACTATACAGACCTTTGTTGGCAAAGTAATGTCTCTGCTGTTTTTAATATGCTGTCTAGGTTGGTCATAACTTTTCTTCCAAGGAGCAAGCGTCTTTTAATTTCATGGCTGCAGTCACCATCTGTAGTGATTTTGTAGCCCAAGAAAATAAAGTCTGCCACTGTTTCCATTCTTTCCTGATCTATTTGCCATGAAGTGATGGGACTGGATGCCATGATCTTAGTTTTTTGTGTTGAGTTTTAAGCCACTTTCTCACTCTCCTCTTTCACTGTCATCAAGAGGCTCTTCAGTTCTTCTTTGCTTTCTGCCATAAGGGTGGTGTCATCTGCATATCTGAGGTTATTGATATTTCTCCCGGCAGCCTTGATTCCAGCTTGTGCATCATCCAGCCTGGCATTTCACATGATGTACTCTGCATATAAGTTAAATAAGCAGGGTGACAATATACAGCCTTGATGTACTCCTTTCCCAATTTGGAACCAGTTCATTGTTCCATGTCTGGTTCTAACTGTTGCTCCTTGACCTGCATACAGATTTCTCACGAGGCGCGTGCCAGATAAGGTGATCTGGTATTCCCATCTCTTTAAGAATCTGCCACAGTTTGGTATGATCCACACAGTCAAAGTCAAACAACTTGCTAAACAACAATCTGTTATCTCTTCACCTAGAATTTCTTTGTCTCCTTAGGATTGGTTTCCTGAAATAGATAACGATATACTGCATGGTAGAAAGAGAGTCAAAGGAGAAATGGATCTTTTTAGGTTTAGTCTCATACTTTCTGCAGGACTTCCTAGATGACTTAGTGGTAAAGAATCTGCCTGCCAATGAAGGAGATGCGGGTTGGATCCCTGGGTCAAGAAGATCCCATGGAGAAGGAAATGGCAACCCACTCCAGTATTCTTGCCTGGGAAATCCCATGGACTTGTAGGCTTGTGTTACATATGACTAAATACACATATGACTGCATACATATATAACTGCAGTGAACATCTGTAGGATTTTTAATTTTTTTAAAGTTTTGGCTGCCTAGCATCTAAGATGTTTCCTATCTGCAAGAAAATCCATTGTGTGGTACTGGAGTGTTGAAAGGAGCGTGAAATAGAAGTCCCCCCATCCCTCTTGTGCCTGGGGTGTCCACATTCCATATAGGCTAAGATAATTTCTTCCCTTGGTATTTTTATCCTCAAAGTAGACACAAAGACACAGGGATCATTTTGACATCTCTTGTGACTCAGGCAGATGGTAAAGAATCTGCCTGCATTTAGGAGACCTGGGTTCAATCCTTGAGTTGGGAAGATCCCCTGGGGGAGGGCATGACAACCCACTCCAGTATTCTTGCCTGGAGATTCCCATGGACAGAGAAGCCTGGTGAGCTACAGTCCATGGGATCACAGTCAGACGGGACTGAGCGACTAACACTTTCATTTCATTTCACTTTCATGGCAGCAAAGAGAGCCCACAGTACTGTCCATGGGGCAGGGAGGATGTGCTTGGCCAATGGTTCCCACGGCTGGACCTTGAGTATGATTACTGTCAAGTCTCTGGTTCCCACACACACTCTGAATCTGCTTCTCCAGCGCCCTTTCTAGTTTGCTGGAGTTAGTTAGATAAGACTTTGGTTGCGTGGTGGGTCACTAACAAAAGTCTGACTAACCAAAGGTAGATACAGCTCCTCTCCACACCCACTGTCTCAGGGCTTCCATCCACCTCCACGCAGCCCTTCTGTCTCAGCAGAGCTCCCAGGATCGCGGCAGCAGAGAAAGAGTGTGAGACCTTACACTCGCTCGTACAGGCTCTGGACCAGAAGCACACGGGGCCCTTCCTCCCGTGGCCATCAGGCAGCCGCATCACCCATGTGACCGCGCGGAGGCAGGAGTGGGACCTTCCTGTGGGCTCAGGAGGGAGAGCAGAGCCAAGCACGAGAGACACCAGACGTCTGTGCGTTGAGAGCACGGACCAAGCTCTGCTCGACGTTCACCGGAGCAGAAAACGAGGGAAGCCTGGGGAGTCAGAGGAGCGCATGGGAAACAGCGCCAATGCTCTGCAGGCTCACTCTGCACCAGCGTCTCCCGAGCCTCAGCCGCAGCATCCAGGTGGTTCCAGCACCGGCCGCTCCCCAGTCCTGGGGGGCCAGCCGGTGCAGCGGTGCCTGTCCTCTCTGGACGTGAACGAAACGCTACCCAGCAAGGTGCGGAGTCCAGCCTTCCCAGAGGATGCGGAGGAACTGCAGGTGGCAACATGAAAGGGCTCAGAAGCTCACGGCGCAGGAGTCAGACTTCGACTAACAGCAAGTGGGAACCGGGAGAGAAGGTGGCAGATCTGTTCTCTTCTCCTCCTCCTCCCCTCGAGGCACAGCTTCTCCACAAGTCAGGAGACTTGCTGTGTCTGTCGCGTGGCACAGTGGCCAGCGTGGAGGTCATTCGCCTTGTGTGGCTTCCCTTCTTTTCCTGGTTCATTTGCTTTTTCTCCTACTCTTGCTGGCTCGGGCTTACACTCCCAAAAATAACAGTGTAAGAAAAACCTCACTTTCCTGTCTATCACTTTATTCACTAGTACTGCCACACTCGCAGGGCTTCCCAGGCGGCTCAGTGGTAAAGAACTTGCCTGCCAATTCGGGAAATACCAGAGGCATGGGTTTGATCCCTGGGTCAGGAAGATCCCCTGGAGCAAGAAGCAGCAATGCACTCCAGTACTCTTGCCTGGGAAATCCCATGGACAGAGGAGCCTGGTGGGCTGCCGTTCATGGGGTCACAGAGAGTCAGACCCGACTGAGCACCCCACGCGCCACACTCGGGTTTCTCGCTACCAAACATGTAGGGCTTCCCCACACACTGAGAATTCCTTCTGTTCCTGGTGGACTCCTGCTTGTTGTCACGCAGTTCACTTCAGTCCTGACACCATCTACCTCCGGTTATCATTGGATCCCACAGGGTAAGGGCCCGGTCTCATAAAACTGTCCCCACTTCAGAAGCTGATCAAAACCGTAGGCTGCCCTCTTCACTTCTGAGCGACTGGCTCGGGGCTCCCAGGACCCACTTCTCAAGTTCAACAGTTTGCTAGCTCACAGAACTCAGGGAGATGCTTATATTGATTGGTTTGGCACATAATAAAGGCTCTGATAAAGGATCCGGATGGATAGTCAGGTGAAGAAATATGTGCAGCCAGGTTCAGAGGGCTCCGTCTTACGATAGGTGTGCTTTCCCACGGCCCTTTGGCTAGAGAGTGCAATGTCGGGGAAAAACAAAACAACAGTGTTCTTCACAAACATAGACACACACCCCAGACTTACTGGTGCATTTTTGCCTGGTAGATCTGACTTCAGTCCGCAGTCACAGACCCGACTGCAGTTATCCCTGCTGAGGGCTCTGCAGGGCCCGCTGGCTGTCCTCCCGGGAGACGCCGCCTCCTGTCACCTCTGCAGGGCGCAGCCCTGTTCACGCCGGCGGAGCACGAGGCGGGGCAGGGACCACCGTGTGTACAGGCCCCGCGCCCCCTTGTGTTTGCGCTGCTGCCACCGAACCCCGATTTGAAACGCCGTAAGGAAAGCACTCTGCTTGCGGTGGCTGTGGTGGCTGGCTCTGGGAGAGCAATTCTTCTCCTGAGTCATGGGCAAGGCTGGCTCATGAGCTGAGGCCGGGGCTGGGACAGAGATAAAAGCTTTTCTCTCCTCTGCCGAACCCAGTAAGAACCAGACTCGCTGAGCCAGACCCAGCATTACAAATACTGTATTCACATGTAGCTTGATATAGTCATTTAGTTTCAGGGAACACCAGGGTTTTCTTGGCAATGGATTCTATTTGCCCCTGAAGACTGTGATTTTTTTTTTTTTTTTTGGCTACCAGTTCACATATGAACTGTTGCCTCTTACATTGTGATGGCCTTTCTCTTCCCATTTTTAAAGGCATTGTTTAGATTTTTATTTATTCATTATTTTTGCCTGCACTGGTCTCTGCTGCTACACTGGGGCTTTCTCTAGTTGTGGCGCTTCTCTTGTTCTGGAGCACAGGCTCAGTACTTGTGGCATGAGGGCCTTGCTGCCCCTCGGCATGTGGGATCTTAGTCCCTGGACCAGGGATCAGATCCATGTCCCTTGCATTGCAGGGTAAGATTCTTCACCACTGGACCACCAGGGAACTTCCTCTCTTTCCATTTAATTCGATAAATACTTATTCAGCGCCCACCATGTTGCTACGGAGAATATAAAATTGGGGAGGGGAGGATAGGCTGAGCGAGTAGCACGGACATGTACACACTGCCATGGATGAGAGAGCCAGCGGGGAGCTGCTAGGTAGCACAAGGAGCTCAGCTTGGTGCTCTGTGATGACCTAGAGGGGCAGGATGCTGGCGGGGTCGGGGGAGCGAGACCAGAGTGGGGGAGCTCAGCTTGGTGCTCTGTGATGACCTAGAGGGGCAGGATGCTGGCGGGGTGGGGGGAGCGAGACCAGAGGGGAGGAGTTCAGCTTGGTGCTCTGTGACGACCTAGAGGGGCAGGATGCTGGCGGGGTGGGGGGAGCGAGACCAGAGGGAGGGGATATGTATATGTCTAGCTGATTCACATCGTTGAACAGCAGAAACCAACACAACATTGTAAAGCAATTACACTTGGATTAAAAAAACCAATATACAGATGAATGGAGTATAGCTCTGATCTTAAGAAGTATATATTCTAGAAAGCATGTCAGACATGTAGGTAAGTAACTGGGCATCACTCCTCAGCACCTCAACGCCAGCCACTGTTGTTGTTCAGTCGCTAAGGCATGTCCAGCTCTCTGCAATTCCATGGACTGCAGCACGCCAGGCTTCCCCGTCCTTCACCAACTCCCAGAGTTTGCTCAAACTCATGCCCATCAAGTCGGTGATGCCATCTAGCCATCTCATCCTCTGTAAACCCCTTTCTTTGCTTGCCCTCAATCTTTCCCAGCATCAGGGTCTTTTCCAATGAGTCAGCTCTTTGCATCAGGTGACCAAAGTATTGGAGCTTCAGCTTTAGCATCAATCCTTCTGTGAATACTCAGGGCTGATTAAGCCGCATGTTGATAAATGCTATGAATCTATGTGCTGAAAGGATGGTGTTCAAAGGATAATGATCTATTTAATGAGTGCCCCTTTAACGTGCACGTACCAAACCAATGGCCTTTTCCTGGCTATCTCCCCTGATCCTCAGAAGAACCCTTTGAGCCGGACACTGTTACGACTCGATTCTGCAGGTGAGACAGCTGTGGTCATGGTGCAGCTTGCTGAGATCCCAGGGCTAGTTAAGTCCTTGAGTCAAACCCAGACAGCCTGCCTCTGGGTCTGTGCCCTTCCCAAATACAATGTGTGTTTTTCTTATTCTTTCAGTCTACAGTTTTCCTTTGTTTTTTTTTTAAGGATGTTGTTGATCTCTGAGAACTTCTGCTTTTGGGGAATCATAAAAACTATAATGCAACCAGACCTTTTCAGAGGTGTCTGAAAATTTTTCCTGCTGTTGCTTCACGTGGGAGCACATGTGACTGCGTCGGCACTGAAACAGCGCCTGGAGTCTGAGGCGCTGACTGTACTCCCGTTGTTCTATGCATTCTGTACAGTCTTGGGAGGTTATTTTTAATGCAACATGCCAGAGTGGCATGTTGAAAGATCCATAGTAACCAGCTAACAGTAACAGTAGGGCCTGCCAAGTAAAAGTTCCGTAAATCAGTCATAAACGCAGTTACAAAATCCGGCCAGCGTCGTGTGCATGAGGGAGTGTCCTTGGAGGAGGTACAATTCACGCACAGTTTCACAGGATCTCCTCGAAATTCCAGGGCAGTAAAGAGCTCTTGTGGTAAGTTTTTGTTTTGTTTTTTTGTTTTTTTTTTTTTAGGGAAAAAGAGTGAAAAAGAGGCTTCCTGGAACTTTATTCTAACAGGGAACTTTCCCCCATGTGATCAGGTAGCTTAGAGAAGCTGAGAAAAAGACACAGAGAGAGACGAATGTTTCAGATACCAAGGGCCCTCCTTTCTCGTGTTTTTAATATTTTTGGACTCTTTCCTTTCCCACTACTACACCCCACATTCAGGCCTTCATAATGCGGTGTCCTGAGAAGCCCCAGCGTTTGTATCTGTCTACCTGCCCTCAAGTCTCCGGAATTCACAGTGGTGAAAATCGCCCCAGGCAGGATTTTGGACTTCTTACTCTTTGAGTGGGAATTTTACAAGGAGCTCCCAAGTGCTACCAGACCAAATAAAAGCTCACACTTTGCAACACGAGGGGCTTTCTCTGTGATAGGCGGACAGCAAACCCTGTGAGGGAACAAGACACGTTACACGGGGTTTGAGAATTACGAGGAAGACTGTCCTCACAGGCAATGGGTACATCATCAGCGAACACTAACGAGTCATGTGTTACTTTTGAAACACTGGAGAAATTATCTTTATGTATTTGGCTTCCTGCTGTCACAGAAAACTTGGGCATGGGGAGCAGGCTATTTATATCAACACAAGAGGACCGCGTGGGTGCTCAGTCGTTCAGCTGTGTCCGACTCTTTGCAACCCCATGGACTGTAGCCCGCCAGGCTCCTCTCTCCATGGGATTTTCCTGGGCAAGAATGCTGGAGTGGGTTGCCATTTCCTCCTCCAGGGGATCTCCCAGACCCAGAGATTAAATCCATGTCTCCTGCATGGCAGGAGGGTTCTTTACCAGTGAGACAGTAGGGAAGTCTGTATGGCACAAGTATAAATACACCACAGGCTGGAAACTGAAGCACCGATAACTTGGTAACTTCATGCTCGAGGAAAGACTGAATCTGGGCCTGCAGGAGTAGATTTCGAGGCCCTTCCCCAATCACACCACCCCTACTTTTTTCACTTGACTGTGCAAGTGGCGGGTTCTATCCTTGCTTACAAAGCACCTGTCTATACACCACTGTCCTCTTGGAGAGGGAGGTGTGGGGTCAAGGCAGAAGAGGACTGAAGGAAAGCGAAAGGAAAACCTTTCGAGCAGTGCCACCTGAAGAGCAGTTATAAAGGAGATAAAACCCCGCTGCCTATTAGAACCTATGTCATTGGGAAGATGTGATTTAGCTCCTAACGTCACAGAAACAATTGTTACTGGTAAAACAAGGCGTGGCTGTGTAACCCGAAAGGCTAGAGATAAGCTGAAGCAGAAGGCTCTTTCCAAGGTGCCTCTCAGGACGCCTACCTGGGAATTCCCCAGGGCAGATTTCTTCCCCCAGAAGGAGATTCTTGTTGAATAGAGGAGAGTTACGAAACTGACTTTTCTCTG